TGCTCCCCAGCATCGTGACCTGAAAGGACTTTTTATTATTTTCTGCGCAACCTTTTACTCCAGATCAGACCAAAACAGTTTTTTAATTAACTATCTTTAATCACAAGAATGCTGAGTTGTGGGCAAAAGTCGTGCCCCAGGCGGGAGTCGAACCCGCACCTCACGCTTTCCGGGCGAGTGCGCTATCCGTTACGCCACCAGGGCCGCTTTTACCCTCTCAGCTTAACGGCTTTTATGCCGTAGCCTATCAGCACTCACACGTTTAACTTGGTGAGCCGGTCAGCCGTAATCGGTGGGATATCGGCATGAAAACGCGAGGCCGAAGGCTTTAGATGTTTTTGAAGCTGTTTTGAGTGATAACTGCTGTTTAACGCCGCAGTACGATTAGCGCAACTTCGCCGGAAAGCGTGCAGGTGGCGCGGTTCGACTCCCGCTGGGGCCAACTTTTGCCCACAAATCGCATTCTGTGATAACCATTCGGATAACGTCGATACTGCGGCGTTAAACAGCAGTTATCATTCAAAACAGCTTCAAAAATATCTTAATTGTATTTTTTTCGGCTGTGATTTATGCTCACCAAATGTTCCCAGAATTTATACAACATTCTCAGTGCGTACTAAACTATTCAGACATTGTTGGACTTGTACATACTGCACCGAAGCGAATTGCTTCGTCTCATCGTGCTTTATTTGTTTCGCGCTTCATTTCTCTCGGCCTCAACGCTGGTTTTCCGGTTGATCTTCACTATTAGCACTGATCTCAACGGTTTTGCCTCTCGTTTTGAAGGTGAGTTATCCGTAGTTATTTTCACACAAATATTTTTGGTCAGTGTTGCCACTGGAATCTAGGAACAATGAGTCAAATTACCAGTCCACTTTGTAGAGCAAAAAGGGCGTCCGGCGGCTGCATATTCCCCTGCTGGCAGCTTGTTTTCTGATCACTCTTATTAATCTATCTTAACTTGTCTTCCGTCGGGACCCTCCCATCCATCGCCGCGCTTGGAGTCACGCCCCTTGTTGCCCTCGGATGTGGGCGTATGCTTTTCGATGAACTCTAAAGAGCCTTATTCTGAGGGATGGGCAGGCTGAGGAGACCGTCAGTTCTGACGTTACGGCTACCTTTTCTCCTTTTTGACTCCTTTTGCAAGAATCTTGGGTGTATATCGCTCACTACTCCGAAAATAGAGGAGAGAGTGGGTTTATGAAAGTCTAACAAACCTTAAGGCATTACTTCAGGTTCGGGTGTTTGTTCACCTTGTAACTCGCTAAGTACTCGTCTCTAGCTGAATCTTCTATATTTTCGCCATTGGGTGGAATACAAATCACCACTCAACTACTGAAAGAGGTACACTTCATATCCCAGAGACGGAGAGTCCGTGGCACCCTACCAGTAGTAGTCCCTACCAGTAGTAGTTCCGTGGCGCTCCGTCTACAGTGGACGAGGAGGGGAGGAGGGGTTTCTAGGCTTTCCACCTACAAGTCACCTAACGTACGAGCTACCTGATCTGTAGGCACTACAGTTACTCTTACTAAATGTTTAATATTGACGCGATCATCTCTGAGATATCCTCCTGTTCAGTGCTCCAGAGCACGCTGTCGCAGAAGGACTCGCGATCGCGTAAAGTCTCACCCTACTGCAGATGAGCTCAAAGGAAGGGATGGAATGGAGAAAGTGATTTTCTCGCTAGACGACATCACTAATGGGTGAGTTTCCGTTACTGGTTTTGTAGATATTTCCAAAGAATATGTATGAGAAAGTGATGGAGGGGGTGCGGGTGGAAAAGGGAACGCTTGTTGCGCATATAATTTCGGAGGTCATATCCTGGACCGTTCCTGTCATTTACAACGAAGTCTTCTTACCTGTGGGGGCGACAAATGGATAGCAGATCCATCCGGGAACATAAAAAAATGTACAGTTGATATAGTCGCAGTCAGTCGGGGCGATGTCAGAAGACGTGGAATGAGCCCATCTGTAGAATTCCAACTACACTCCTTTCCTTTCCTGAATGATGTTCAACCGATCATTATTGGTTAAAAAGGTACCGTGGCAGGATCACCCCCTCCTCCGAAAACCACAACCAAGTGAAATCGCTTCGCATGCCAGAGAGATCATGAGCCTCCCGAAGTCTGTCATACTTTGCACTCTCTAGAGCGCTTTTGCTGATTGCAACGTGATCAATTTTATGCTGTAGCTGGAGTGATCCTAGGTGGATTCCAAGATTCAACTTCTGAGAAGTGAATCCCTTTCAATAACTGTAAGCACTAGTAAAAATGGACCTGGGAGATGCAATGTTGACATGAAATTGTAATTTGTTCAGAAGAACTGACTCCTTGGTGTGCAGTGAAAATAATGAAGAG